CCTACACTGCTCCCCATCCCTCCTCGTTCCCTCCACTGCTCCCCCTCCCTCCACCTTCCCCGCACTGCTTTCCTCTCTCCCCTCCACTACCCTGCTCCCCTTCCTGCCCCACACTGCTTCCCCTCCCCTCTCGCAGTCTGTCCCGAACCATTGGGTGAGGTCACTTTCCTCCAACGTAAATCCTGGAGAAAACAAGTTAATGATATGACGCAAAGTGGCTCCTTTCTCCTTTCCTGCACCTGTCTGCTGCTTAATGAGCATATCTGCAGGCAGCATATTGCTCCCCTGTGCCCGTCTAGTGCCCTTATCAGGCCGGTGTGTATGCAAAGGCAGGAAGACAAGAAGCTGGGGGGGAGGGAAACGTCTCTCATAAAAGTTTAGCTTTAGCAAGTCACCTCATTCATGCCCCTCTTGCCAGCCAAAAATGGGAATTTGGTTCTATAGAAGGTACTGGGATTACAGGGATCGTCCTGTGAGGAGAGGCTGTGCCTGGACATGGCTGGCTGAGGGTAACAGGCCTTTTGCCTCCAGCTGGCCAGTGCTCATCCTGCCCAGGCGTGGCAGTACGTACGGGCACTGGAGCGCTCAGGTCAGCATCTGACGCTCACGTGGGTTCTGGGTGGTGGCCCAGGGGAGGCGTGGTGGGCTCTCAGAAGGCAACATCACAAGGAGCACCTCTCAGCATGAGAGCCAACACCATCCCCTCCCGAATGAGTTGAGAGCTGCTGTCTCGGATCCTGAAAGCCTGGGCCGTGCATGGAGCACGCAGTGGTTCCTCTGCCACACCCTGCCACGGGGCATCCGTCCTACTTGGGAGGAAGCCCTGCTAGGGCGGGAGTGAAGGTGGCACTCCGTGGCCCACTGGTTCCACAGGAGAGGGCTGCAAGGATGGGGACGGAGACCCAGACAGAGAACCACCCATTCCTTCCAGCTCAGGGCAGGGATGGCTTCTGGGGCTGCACAAAGCCCTGCCTGGCCCAGCTGGTAGAAATGGGGAGAGGGGAGATCCCAGGGCTCGTGCGGGCTCCGCCGGTCGGAGCACTCACCAGCGTCTTGTAGTCGATCTGCTGCCGGATGAGCTTGTCCTCGCTCAGCGAGTAGCGGGCCTCCCCGGGGATGGAGGCAA